ACAGTCATCAATCATATGCTCCAATTAAACAGAGGTGTGAATCTTCCTCCCGTCTATTCTCTGTTGTTACAGACTGCTGTTGCTTTGACCTTGGCTGTGCTATGCTAAGATAATGTTATTATTCACAGGCATTCCTCCCCCCTCATATGGCCCGCAATGCCTGCTTTTGCTCTTGAAGCGATATGTAGGCTAAATAAGATATGTTTGCTTCTTCACCTATGTCGAGCAATAACATCCAATGTTAGCAGACTTGACACCCTGCTCAAGCAGGAGACCCTATACCATTTCAGACAAGCAGCTGTCCAGCCTCTTCTTAAAAAGCTCTAGTGATGAAGCACCCACAACATCTGAAGGCAAAGCTATTCCATTGGTTGGTTGTCTTCACTGTTAGGAAGTTTCTCCTTAATTCCAGGTTGTTTCTCTCCTTGATTAGTTTCCATCCGTTGTTTCTTGTCCTGCCTTCTGGTGCTTTGGAGAATAATTTGACCCCCTCTTTTTCTTTCTAGCAGCCTCTCAAATACCGAAATACTGCTATCATGTTCCCCCTAGTCCTTCTTTTCTCTAGACTGGCCAAACCCAAATCCTCCAACCGTTCATGTCTCTCCCTTGGATATCTTTTCTTCTTGTACGCTTTCAAACAGGCGCTGAAAGAAGAGGCTTTCTACGGCTTGGCTCAATGGACAGGCCATGCTTTGGTGGTTGGGGAATGTGTGAAGGACAGTAATTGATTTTATAAAGGTGGGGAGGATAGATTTAGCAAACTGTTTCTTGGCTTGTGGGTCTCTGCTGAGTTCCTGTGAGTTGGCCCAGCACGTTTCGTGTCGTTCTCTCTTCTTTATCCAGAATCTCTTTGGAAAGAGGGATTTTTAGCTATCAGGTGGGAGGCGCTGAGGGACATAGTACAGGTGGTCCTTCGACCTATGGTCAGAAATGAGCCCAAGATTTCCATTGCTGAGCAGTGGTTCAGTGAGGTTTGCCCCATTTTGTGACCTTTCTTGACACATTTGTTAAGCGAATCACTGCAGTTGTGAAGTTAGTAATGTGGTTGTTTGCTTGTTTGTTTGTTATGCCCTCATCTTCACTACAAGGTGACTCTGTTAAGTGAATCCTCATTGTCAGAAGGTTGCAAAAGGTGATCACATGACCTCAGAACACTGCAACTGCCATAAATATATGCTAGTTCCTTCCTTCCTTCCTTCTCTCCCTCCCTCCCTCCCTCCCTCCCTCTCTTCCTTCATTATCCTTCCTTCCCCTTCTCCTTCCTTCCTTCCCCTTCCGGCCTTCTTTCCTTCCTTTCTTCTTTCTTTCCTTTTCCTCCCTTCCTTCCCCTTCTCCTTCTTCTTCCTTCTTTCCTTCCTTTTCTTTGCTTCCCCTTCCTTCCTTCCTTCCTTCCTTCCTTCCTTCCTCCCTTCCTTCCTTCCTTCCTTCCTTCCTTCCTTCCTTCCTTTCTTCCACTTTCCTTCCTTCCTTTTCCTTCCTTCCCCTTCTCCTTCCTTCCTTCCTTCCTTCCTTCCTTCTTTCCTTCCTTCTTTTTTCTTTCCTTCTGCAAATCACATCACTCTGCTGATTCGAATTCAATTGGTAATCAGCCACGGTCCCAAGGTATTTTTCACACCTGCTATTAAAGAGCCAAATGTTTCCCCATTGTATATTTGTACGTTTGATTTATATAGGCTCCATTGATAGCTTTACATTTCCCTCCGTTAAATTTCATTCTGCTGCTTTTAGTCCATTTCTCTAATCTATCAACATCATTTTCAATTGTATTTCTGTCCTCCGGAGGCATTGGCTATGAAATTTGAAGATTTGATAACAGTCCCTCCCATCTCAGCATCCAAGTCATTAATAAAAATTTTTAAAAGACCTGGGACACAATTGGGGGGAGGGGGGTTGCAGAGTGGAGATCACAGTAGTAAACTCTTTCCAGTTAGATGACACATTGTTGATGCTCACAGCACTGACACCGGCTATGTATGATTACATCCCTCATAAACCATGATGTGTTCTGCTCATCTTCTCTGTTTTCCAAATCTGATGGAACAGGATAGACAGGGTGTTCAGAATTTATTTCTACTGTAATTTATTTATTTATTTATCGATTTCTGTAGCTGCCCATCTCAATCAATGACTCTGAGTGGCTTAGAATTCAAAAATATATCTATGTGTATTACAGTTAAAGCACTAAAATAATTTAAATTAAGACGGATGCAGTCATTAACATTTTCTCCAAGTGAACACCTTAAGGCATTTGGTTATCAGACAGATGTGCTGAATAAGAACAAAAGTCATTTATTTTATTTTATTTTATTTCATTTCATTTCATTTCTATTTTACGATTTTACGATTTTACGATTTTATTTTTATTCTATTCTATTCTATTATATTCTCTATTCTATTCTCTATTCTATTCTATTCTCTATTCTATTCTACTCTACTCTATTATTTTTATTTATTTTATTTTATTTCCTACCTTTATTATTTTTATAAACAACTCAAGGTGGTAAACATATTTCATACGGGTAGTCTTCCACTTACAACAGTTTGTTTAGTGAGTGTTCAAAGTTACAACGGCACTGAAAAAAGTGATTTATGACCATTTTAGGACCGTTGCAGAATCCCTGTGGTCACCTGATCAAAATTCAGAGGCTTGGCAACTGGCATGTACTTATGACGGTTGCAGTGTCCCGGGGGGGTCACGTGATCCCCTTTTGCGCTCTTCTGATAAGCAAAGCCAATGGGGGAAGCCAGATTCACTTAAGAGCCGCGTTACTAACTTAACGACTGCAGTGATTCACCTAACAACTGTGGCAAGAAAGGTTGTAAAGTGGGACAAAACTCATTTAACAACTATCTCACTGAACAACATATATGCAACTGTCTCACTTAATAACATAAATTTTGGGCTCAATTGTGGTCTACTTGAACTCCTTCCTTCTTTCCCCATAACTACCGTGTGAGGTAAGTTGGCCTGAGAGAGAGCAATTGGCCTAAAGTCACCCAGCTGGCTTTCAGGCCTAAGGCAGGACTAGAACTCACCATCTCCCAGTTTCTCGCCTGGTGCTTTAACCTCTAGACCAGGCATGTCAAACTCGCGACGTCACGTGACGTCGCACGATGTATCATGACTTTTTCCCCTTTGCTGGCAATGGGGTGGGCGCGGTTTCGGTGTGATGCATCCGGCCTGCGGGCCGGCAGTTTGACATGCCTGCTCTAGAAGACCCAGTGAATTGTCATATCCAGTGAAACGGCCATTTTAGTGACAGGAGTCTTCTTAGAGCTATGTTTAAAATTATGCCCTGCTCTATACCTCTTGAGACTCAGCTGGCTTTCAGCAACGAAACCACAACTTGAAAATGATTATAATTTCAAACAATAAAATAGTCGGGACACTAAAACATCGTTATAATTGTGACAAATACCCAAAGACATCTAAAAATATTGAAAGTCTACTTTAACAGGACCGCTCGTGGTTTTTGGGGAGGTAAGCAGCTAGCATTTCACAAATATAAGGGAAAAGTTCTGATTCAGATCCAAGGGTGAATTGAAATTTTATTAGGACCTTTGGCCAGTTAACAGAACTATCGCAATTTTCTTTCAATCGTTTGATGACCAATGGAGAAAGCTCACCAAAGACCCTGGCAGATTCTTGCACAGACATACAGATGATATTGTCAGCAGATCTCAGGCTGTGCTGCATCTTTCAAATAATCAATTGAGCATTTGATGACAAGAAGTGAAACTGGGATTTCTGAATGTAGATCATCTTCTCTATTGCTTTGCTACCATAATGGAATGTGAGAAAGACCTTGGGAGACGGGTGAAGAAATGCTGCCTAGGGAACAGTCAGATAAGGGAAGGCATAGCCCATAGCTGCATAACGGGCAGAGGATCTGCCCTAACTTATGAGGCTATAGAAACAGACACTGGGAGAATTGTATTTTCAGACTTGCAATATAGTCTTATAATAAAGTAGAATTAGCTCATCTGATGCGGTTTCCTGTCTGGTCTACTTGGGAAGGCTAAGTGCTACCCTACTAGCAACATTTGGAGAGAGAAAAAATTCATAATTCAGCACAGTAGGTGAAAGGAAGATGCCAAAAACCAGGAAAGAAGAGATATGAAATAGCATAGGATTGTCATTCAGTTTCAACTAGTATAAGAATTTAACAAAACTTCAAATATGTACATAAAAATATGAAGGACCTTGACTTTAAGGAAAAAGAACATGCAAAAAGATGAAACCAACCAATTTATCTTCTCTTCAGTTCTATGTAACCAGTACTAAAATCTCTATCATCTCTACATATCCATCCATCCATCCATCCATCCATCCATCCATCCATCCATCCATCCATCCATNAGAGAGAGAGAGAGAGAGAGAGAGAGAGAGAGAGAGAGAGAGAGAGAGAGAGAGATTATTCATGTTCAGATAGAGATCATAAACTCTCAGTGGCTAATTATGAGTAACACAAGCATGTTCAAAATTAAGTATAAAGTTCTAAAACCATGATCATCATGAAATCAATTAAACTGATCACTCACTACGATCCCAGGACAATGGGGATCAATCTAATTTCTGAAGGGAATCTGCTCCACTAAATAGAAGCTTCTACTGAAATACAAGAGCTGTGCCTAAGATCTATTGGGAAACCTTTAACTTCAAGGCAAAGCACACTCAAAAGATTTTGAGTGAAAGAAGAACAAGAGTTGGCATGGACTAAGAATATTTTACACACTGCTGCCCACCCACACGTCCCATTGAAACCTTGGACTAGGAAAATGGCATCACGTTGAGCTCATAGTGAACCACACATAGAACAGATTCAACAGAATTAGTGGGATCTTGAGTTGTCATTAATGTTAATTCCATCCATAAGCTGTTGGGGTCCTTGTTGAACTTGGTTGATTTCTTGCAGACGTTTCATTGCCCTGCTTGGTAACATCATCAGTGCAATTGTTTGAGCAAGATTGAAGGATGATTTCAGTCTGGGGTCAATCCTTCATGTCTGTTTTCTGAAACACCAGAACATCTTGCATAATCGTCCCCTCAGTTTGGAATTCATGACAATCAAAGCAACGGTGTGTCCTGAATTATATGAACTAACCACTATGTTGGATATAACCATTGTCCAGGGACTGGGAGAAAAGGTCATTGAGATTTCTGCTACAAAGGTTGCGGCATAGAGGATGAGGAAGGAGGTCAAGATCTTAGTGGTCTTCAGATGAACGTCCATCCTTTGATCTCGAAAGCCAACTGAGCTATTCTGCATCCTCTTCACGTGGTGCACAAGGGAGTAAATTAAAAAACCAGAGGAAATTAAAAATATCACAAACGATGGAAAAGTCCCTAGAATATACAGTATGCTGAACAGGAACATCTGAACCCTCACCTCACGTACACCCTCTGGGTTGTCAGACTGGTTGTGATCGTCAATCCAGAGGAAAGGAAGAGCCGAAATCAAGGAAACCAAGACTACCGCAACGAGCAAATGGGGAACCATGCTGGAAATCCTGAGCTTCATTTTCACCAGGAAGGGCTGGCTGAAGTTGACAATTTTCACACAGTAGAATACTCCAAGGCAGGTAGTAATCCACAGGGTGGTGGCATTGAAAAAGGTCCAGAAGAAAATGGTGACACGTCCAGCATATTTGGGTCGATTAATATCAAGGAAGCCAAAACAATGGAAGCCGAGCGTGATTCCGAGGAAAATAAATCGGGTCAGGCTGAGCGTCATCAGCAGGAGGCCAGGACCCGACGGTGCTTTGCTTCGGATCCAATCATGGCAGTCTGAAAGAAAGATGAATCCGTTTCCAGTCATCCCGACAAGAGTCACAGCTGTGGTGATAATAAGGCAGAGCCAGTTGTGAACTCCTGACACCGACATGGCTCCTCCACGGAGGCGTAAAACCAAAAGCTGGGGAGAAGCCACCAGCGTCCTTCAGTGAACGGTCAATATTTCTCTAGTGGAAGATGCATGGCTTAAGCCTTTTTTGTTCAGAAGAATTTGCAAAGTTGCAGAGATTTTGTTTAAGGTTTGTTGTTGGTAATGTAAATATTGTACAGGCCAAGGACGGGTCCTGCTTGCCACATTTGCATGTTCTTTTCCACAGCTGTGTGTGTTTTTGAGTCAGCCATTTAGTGTGTTTGGAAGAGCAATTTCCAAACATCTCTCCCTTAGGCCGAGTCCCTAATGCCCGAGTCATGGCAGGCAACAAAGATGATTAGGGGACTGGAGGCTAAAGCATATAAGGAACAATTGCTGGAATTGGGTATGTCTAGTTTAATGAAGAGAAGGACAAGGGGGGACATGATAGCATGTTCCAATATCTCAGGGGCTGCCCCAAAGAAGAGGGAGTCAAGCTATTCTCCAAAGCGCCTGAAGGCAGGACAAGAAGCAACGGATGGAAACTAATCAAGGAGAGAAGCAACCTAGAACTAAGGAGAAACTTCCTGACAGTGAGAACAATTAACCAGTGGAACAACCTGCCTCCAGAAGCGGTGAATGCTCCAACACTGAAGGTTTTTAAGAAGAGACTGGACAGCCATTTGTCCGAAATGGTATAGGGTTTCCTGCCTGAGCAAGGGGTTGGACTAGATGACCTCTAAGGTGCCTTCCAACTTTACTATTATTATTATTTTAAGCTATCCTCTGACCTGCCTCTCTTCTCTTCAGATTGGTGATAAATAAAAGCCCATTTCTGGAGATTTGATTCATGATGAAAATGCCAACTTGGATGATGCAAAGGAGATCTGGATAGGCATGTTGGCTGATGTCATTGTCTCACTAGGTTTCTTGTTCAAGAGCTTAGATATAAAGGAGGTCAGGGGAGGAAGTTCGCATGATGGCAGAAGATTCCATTCTTCTGGCCAAACTAAAGACAGGTGTCTTAGATAGTATCTGCTCCCTACAAAGCAGGTCACATGTTAGAAGAGAATGTTGTAGCTTAAAGTTGAACTGTGGAGTCCTTGGTGCTGTCTGAGCTTGGTTGTTTTCTTCCATGATGTTTCATCAGATGTCAAACGATCAATCAGAATAGAGCTGGAAGGGACCGTGGACGTCTTCTGGTCCAACCTCCTGCTCAAGCAGGAGACCATATACTATTTCAGACAGGTGGCTGTCCAGTCTCTTCTTAAAAGCCTCCAGTGATGGAGCACCCATAACTTCTAGAGGCAACCTGTTCCACTGGTTAATTGTCCTCACTGTTAGGGAGTTTCTCCTTAATTCCAGGTTGCTTCTCTCCTGGATTATTTTTTAGTCAACTGATGAGGTTGCCTAGTGTGTTCACACATTCAATTTTGTTTTGTACCTAGGAAGATGCTCCATAGATGGAGGTAACGATTGTGGTTCTTTTGTCATAAGTAGATCCTTTGTCATCACTGTTTGTGATGGACAGTTCTTCTCTCTCTTGCAACTACTTAAGGTCAATTTCAGGATCTCACAAATCCTTCAGATTTCCAGGGTTTGCTAAGGGAAACGTTTCCTGATTCACCAGACTCCTCTCTCCCTCCACTACCATATTAACCAGGGGTCTTCAAACTTGGCCCTTTTATGACTTGTGGACTTCAACTCCCAGAATTCCTCAGCCAGCATGGGGGAACTATGGCCCCTTCATGACTTGTGGACTTCAATTCCCAGAATACCTCAGCCAGCATGGGGGAACTATGGCCCCTTCATGACTTGTGGACTTCAACTCCCAGAATTCCTCAGCCAGGCACGCTGGCTGAGGAATTCTGGGAGTTGAAGTCCACAAAAGGGCCAAGTTTGAAGACCCCTGATATTAACCAACTGATTAATAAATCAATTGAAATCAATGAATACATCACTGATTGCATCTCTTGGGGTTGGTGTTTGTTTTTTTTTTGCAGATTCTCTCTCTCTCTCTCTCTCTCTCTCTCTCTCTCTCTCTCTCTCTCTCTCTCTCTCTCTCTCTCTCCCTCTTTCTCTTTCCACTCAAAGAACACCAGATCAAAGCTCTGCCTTTCTCCGTGCCAAGTGCCAAGTGCCTTCATTCGGCAATAGCTTTCTGACATTCCCCACTTTCCCCTCCATTCACCTCCTGACAAACAACTCGGAGAAACCAAAGAGCTCCTAGCAAACCTGGTCTTGATTGTCTGGCTCTGTTTTATTTGTTTGCTTACTCTGAAATGAGGCTTCAAGTGCCTCTGATAAATTGCTGCTCTCACCCGAGTTAGGTGTTTGCTTGTTGAGTTATGAGATTCCACTTCCCTACCAAGACTGCTCAGAAATGAAAAGCTTAGATAACAGCTTTCCCCTGGAGGAAGTGTTCTTTTACCAACCCTCTTAACGAAACACAGGAAAGCAATTTCAGGGAAGCACCCAGAACAGTGCTATGCAAACTCCAGCTGGCAATCCGTACACACGGCAAGCCAGATGAGATTTATGTAAATATCCCTGTGTACAAATAATAGGAACACTCACTAATGAAATCCGGTCTGGATTTGCATCGAAGTAATGAAGCCTCTGGATAGCTTTCTTTTCTTTCTTGCTTGCTTGCTTTTTCCCCCAAAAAATGTCTTCTCCTGAACAACAAAAAACTAGATGTATTATATTTCATTCCCCAAAGCGAAGGTGTAACTTTTGCCAGGGTGACATTTTGGATGGGATGTTATTTAAAATATTTATATAGCTGCCCATTTTCTAACCAGATCTGGGCAGCTTCCTATCAAAAGATAAAAATACATACAATCATATTCAAACTATAACACCTAAACACATTGAAACATTGAAAACAACAAAAACCTGGCACCAAGTCTAACTTCTGAGGTTCAGTCACCCCAATTGTATCCCAGCGCTTGGGGGGGGGGGGGAAACGGGTCTTCAAAACTTTAAGGAAGGCTAGGAGAATGGAGGCCTGGCGAACTGTGGTGGAATGTAGTCTGGATTCCCAGGAGGGAGGGGCTGCATCGCAGAGGACAAAGAGGTAGTGAAGCTTAGATAGTTTGATCGGGAGGAAGAGAGTTAAGATGGTTCCTCCCTAGCAATTCTCAGAGTATATCTATAATGATGCAAATATTGGTGTAGTTTGACAAGATTCGTGTCTATAGGTGTGGAACAATAAAGGAAACTGCTGGGGAATTCTGTGAATGGAAGTCCACAAGTCTTAACACTGCCAAGGTTGGACACCCCAATATAAAATATTAAAACAATAATATAATATCAGAATTAGTAGAAAAATAGCTAACATAGGGGTCAATATACAGTGGGTAGAAGTGGGATTTTCTATTTAATCCACTAAGCACCTCCAGAATGACACATCCCCATCAAACCCCAAGCCAATCAGTAGAGCCAGGTTTTCACCTTGTGATGGAGGGGGGGGCATGATGTTCCAGAAGGCAGGAGCCAAGGCAGAAAAGATCTTTTCCCCTGCAATCCAACAGTTGAAATTCCTTTACCAACAAGATCCATGATTTTCCCGTCCTGCTGGGTGGGCATGGATGGGTGGGCCAATGCCATCGGAATGAGATGGTTCCTCAGATATTGCTCCTATGTTGCTCTATCTATGCTGTCTGGCAATGACTTTACAATCTGTGCTTCTGTTTGTCTGTCTGTCTACCCATCCATCCATCTACCTATCTACATACCTATCTATCTACCTATCCATCTGTCTATCTATCCATCTATCCCCACTATCTATCTATCCTTCTACGTACCATGTTTCCCCAAAAATAAGACCGGGTCTTTTTTTTTTCCTCCAAAAGAAGCACCCGGTCTTATTTTCAGGGTAGGCCTTGCCTCACCTCCGGCGCCGACAGCCCCACCCAGCCGGTCCACTTCTTCTGGGGCTGAAGTTCTGCAGCTGCATTCGGGCCTGCATTTTGCAGTCAGGCCTTTCCAGAAGGCCTAAGCAGCTGAGTACCGAGCTATGGATTCAATCCATAGCTTGGGGCTCGGCTGCTGAGGTCTTGCAGAACCGAGCTATGGATTGAACCCATAGCTCGGTTCTCGGCTGCAGAGGCCTTCCAGAAAGCCCCGTGACTGAGAAATGGAGGCCTGGCTGCAGAAGAGGCCTCAGAAGAAGAAGTGGGCCAGGGAGGAGAGGCCTGGCTGCAAGGGAAGCAGGTACGGGGCAGGTGGGGCAACTCCCCACTCCCCACCCCACCCCGCCCTAGCTTGATTTTTAGGTGTGCGCCTCACCCCAAAACTAGAGCTTATTTTTGGGGTAGGGCTTATATTAGGCCCACCCCCCAAAATCAAGCTAGGGCTTATTGTTGGTGTAGGCCTTGCTTTTGGGGAAACATGTTATCTCTCTCTCTCTTTCTCTCTCCCCCCATCCATCCACCCACCCACCTGTCCATCCATCCATTCAGCTATCTTTCTACCTATCCATTGTCTGTCTGTCTGTCTGTCTGTCTATCTATCTATCTATCTATCTATCTATCTATCTATCTATCTATCTATCCTTATTAAACTTATTGCCCCCCCCCCATCTTACCACAGGCAACTCTGGGTGGCTGTCCCCCTCAGACCTATGTAGAAATGACACCGATTAAACTTGAAGATTCAAATTATAAGGCTGTTCCTTGAAAGTCACTGAGTTTCCACAGCACAACCGGCAGGGCGGTGTGTTCTTGCCTGTCCCTATTTTTAAACTCCACAGCCTGCTTCTTGTTTAATACAACTTTTTCTGTGAAAGCAACAGCAGCCAGTTTTCCATAACTGATAGGCAATAAGACAAGCAACTTGTCATTTGGGATTTCTCTTTTGCTGTAATTAAGATGCCCCATAAATAAGCAAGTTCTTTTCCAAGCCAGCTGAATTATTCACGGTCTCCAAGTTGTTATGGAGACAAAGGTCTCCCTCTGATCCCTTTGGGTCTGGTGCCCAAATGACAGCAACTGTATGTAACATCTGGAAGTAAAACC